CAGTTTCTTCTGATGGCACTTGGTCCCACTTGTTACAAACGAACAGAGCACAAGCTGATGAAGTTTCTCTGTAGTGTTCAAGAGACACCTGTCTGGCGTGCTCGATTAGCTTTTCCAGCTAGAAAAAAAAGTAAAATAGAAGAATTTCTTGAGAAAAAAGGAAAAGAGAACGCCTTTGTAGGTCCTCTCTGCGTGACTCTCTTAAACAAAAAATCTTCAGTGGAGTATTGTCAACAGAAGAATGGAAATCTATCAAATTTATCACCATGATGGTTCGGTTATATATCAATTGATATCCTCCACGCACAAGAAGGTCGGAGAGGACGCCAAAATAGGAAGAGTAAGGCGAGAGCAACGCGAAAGAGAACAAGAAAAGGCATAAGTAAAAAGTCGAATATTTAGCGGAGAACAACGCGAGAGGGAAAAACAAAGACGCTCCAGAAAACAGACTGAAAAGCGGTCATCAACAAAGAGAAGCGAACCACAAAGGATCCATGAAAAAAGAGAGGATAAGTCGTGTCTTATCTGGGTTTTCTCTTACGCTAAGGCCCGGAAAAATTCAAACCTTTTCTTAACAATCGTCGTTTTAGATATAATTCAAAGCACATTTTGGTAAAACAATGACTTTAACATTCATCGCTTAAAAACCCTCGCGCCGGTTCATCGCTCGAATAACATTTCAAACTGTTTATGTTCTTTAAGTTATTACAGAACGTTTATTACAGTCGTGGTGTCAAGGGAAAATAATACATCTTACGGATTTTGTTTTGCCTAGAAAGTTTTCAAATGACAGCGAACGGCATGAGAAAGTTTCTACCTCTTTTTTTCTTCAGTCAACCATAGCAGGATCTACTCTATTCATTTCAAAAAATCGCGCTTTGTCGAAGATGTGTTGTTTTACCCTTAGGACGAAGTGATGACCTTTCCCAAAATTGAAATCAAATGAGATTGAATCAGCGATTTTCATGTTTACATTAAGTCTGACGCGGTAATTTGATTTTGACAATATTGTCAAGTGAGAACCCCTCAAACATCGGGCCGCAAATGTGTGGTACAAACAAACTCACAGGTAAAATGGAGTTAGTCTTACTGCGGGATAAGTGAAT